CCCTGCCCTCTGGGTATGTCCTTGGAGGGACCTGGATTGTATACTGATGCAGCAGTAAACAGTTCCAGGGCCCTGGCACACATGTGGATGTCAAAGGACAACTTTTGAGAGTCCTTTCTTCCTGGAGATCCAACCCAGGTGTCAGTTTTGGTGGCTCGTGCATTTCCCAATGAGATGTCTCACCAGCCTGAATCCAGCATTTTGTACAAACAATTTCATACAGATGTTCTTTATGCTTTTGTGTAGAAACTAGATTTTTGTGTTTTTGTACATTGGTTCTGTATTGTTGGGAGGACCTTGGCATTGACCAGATGGAAGGGCTTGGGGAGGGGGCCAGAGTCACAGTGCAAAGCTGTGTGCTGAGAGCTAGTGACAGACGTGGATACACTGCTTATCAGAGGCCACAGACAACCAGGGTGTGGGCACACAGCAAGGTGGAGGCCAACCGCTCTAGCTTTCTGTGCAGACCCGATTCTGTGGTGCCTTTTGTGTCTGCGTTTCCTTTTCTGTGGCTTGAAGGGGAGTTTTGTTTTGTTTTTTAAAACAGGGTTTCGCTGTATAAATCTGTCTGGCCTAGAATTCACTGTGTAGATCAGGCTAGCCTCAAACAGAGATCCAAAAGAGTGAGCCATCATGCCCAGCTCATCTCCATAGCTTTGTCACTGAGCAGGACACATATACAACCAAGTGCTCGAAAGAAGTACTTCTGTATTTGCAGCCACCCTCTCCTGAATGGAGAAGGAAGCCATGCTAGCACTGTGGCTGTGGTCCTGGTGTGTGGCTGGATGATCTTAGTGCACAGCTGCAGCCGCACTCAAAGTGCTCCCCTGAGCACTCCCTGGTGACCTGTGAGAGAAGAGGAGATTTTGAATTTAAATCATGGAACTGTAACTTTTTCTGTGAGAATAAGCAGGGCTGGGCAGTGGTGGCCTACGCACGCCTTTAATCCCAGCACTCGGGAGGCAGAGGCAGATGAACCTCTATGAGTTCTACAGAGATATTTCCAGGACAGCCAAGGCTACACAAAGAAACCCTGTCTCAAAAAACAAAACAAAACAAAATTCAAGTTTCCATTTCCCAAAGGTCTGTGATCCAGGATGGGTCACTGGTACAAATCAGAAAAGCCATTTGATCATTATGATATCTAAACAGTGCTTTGAAAACTGTAATAGCCATGGATAGTAACGGTGAGGTGACTGACAAGAACCTCTGCGTTTCCCTGCGTGGGTGCTGTGTGAGCACACCTTGTACACATTGGGAACAGTGGCAGCCAGAGGGGGCCTATGGCAGGGAAGCTCCTAGGAGGATGTGGCCACATTTTCTATGAGTACTTTCTATGAACACGTGCTTGTTTTGTTTGTTTGTTTGTTTGTTTGTTTGTTTGTTTTTGTGAGGTCGGCTTGTTTAGACGTCTGAGCTCTTATCCAATCAGAGGGACGCCCATGGCTACCCGACTGCTGCTCTGTGAACATGCAGAAAAGCTGTCAGCTGCCATCACACTCAAAAACCACCACTCTCGGCTGCCTGACCTGGTGAATGCAGCTATCCTGCTCGCCCTGAACAAGAGGGAGTGTGAGGTCCCATCCAGCCTGACTCCTGCCGATGTCTTCTTTCGAGAGGTCAGATACACCCTCGTTCTTGTCGTCCTGTATCTTCGTCACACTGTGCCGTGTGTGGACATCCCTGGCAGGGCAGAGTGTTAAAGGACCTCACTGAAATGTTGACTTGGGCTCCCTGCTTTATGAATCCTATTACTCAGTGTCTCTTGTTTACTGTTTGCCCTGTAAGAGGGGCATATGGTTGACTGAGAAAGAGATTCCCCCTTTCCCTTGTCTCTCCAGCTCCCGTGTGACCAGCACAGGAAGCTGTTCTTGTTCAGTAGGCTCCCGGACCTCTAGCTTGCTGCTGGGGTGAAGAGTTGGGGCACTGAGCAGGTAGAAGGTCAGAGTAGCTGCTCTCCAGCATGGTGGCATTTCCCCTTTGTCAAAGACCAGCTTCTTTAAAAAAGAAAACATTATTTGTTTTTACTCATTTGTGTGTGTGTGTGTGTGTGTGTGTGTGTGTGTGTGTGTGTGTGTATGGGCATGCAAGTGTGCACATGCAACACATAATGGCATATATGTGGAGGTTAGAGGACAACTTAAGGCGTTCTCTCCTTCCACCATGCGGGTCCCAGGGATCAAATTTGCCATATGGCATGGCAGGAGGCACCTTTACCTGCTGAGTCATCTCACTGGCCCAAGGCCAAGCTTCTGTGCAGCTGACTCCCTATGTCTCAGCGACCATCCCCTCCCCTCATCCCTCCTCTGGAGCACTACTTTTCTCCTGTCCACTTGCAAGTAGCAACATCATATTCCTAAAGGGTGCTATTTTTTAAGAAGAGATGGTTGCTCAGCTCTGTTTTGGTAGCCCTTATAGAAAGTAGAAGAACAATAGGCTTGCTTCTGGAGGTGCAGCCCCCACCTTGCCATTGACTCACTGTGGGAAGAGGCCCGGGACCATTCAAGGCTTCATAAAAGTAGTATTAGCTAGCCAAGTGGTGGTGGCGCACGCCTTTAATCCCAGCACTCAGGAGGCAGAGGTAGGCAGATCTCTGAGTTTGAGGCCAGCCTGATCTACAAAAGCAGTTTCAGGACAGCCAGGACTGTTACCCAGAGAAACCTTGTCCTGGGGGCGTGGGGGGAAGTGGTACCAACTACTCAGAGATAGGCTGTGTTGGGACAGCATAGGAGCTGTGTTTGCTACCATTGAAGACTGGGGGTAAGAGCATGTAGCCTTTCGTTTGCTTTTTTTTTTTTTTTTTGGTTTTTTTTGGTTTTTCGAGACAGGGTTTCTCTGTGTAGCTTTGCGCCTTTCCTGGAACTCACTTGGTAGCCCAGGCTGGCCTCGAACTCACAGAGATCCGCCTGGCTCTGCCTCCGAGTGCTGGGATTAAAGGCGTGCGCCACCACCGCCCGGCACTTTTTTTTTTTGTTGTTTTTTTTGTTTGTTTGTTTGTTTGCTTGCTTTTGTTAGATAGTCATCCTTGATGTATGCTGAGAACTTGTTTCAGATCCCCCGCCCTATAGACCCCCTAAATCTAAAAGTCCTGTAAATAAAATGGTGTAAGATACAAGCTACACACATCTTCTAGTGTACTATAAATCATCTCTAGGTTCCTTTTATTACCTAAAAGGACAATAACTGTTTGTAAAAAGTTGAAGACTTTTGGTCTTACATCTGCTTTCATCATAAAATCAATATATTAATGTCTGGTGAGTGATGGGAAGACACAGCTTACCAGATGGGATCCATTATCTCTAAGAGTCTGATGACTGTGACTCTGTCTGCCCTCAGGTGTCCCAGGTGGACACTATCTGCGAGTGCCTGCTGGAGCATGAGGAACAAGTCCTGCGTGATGTTGCGTTGGACTCTCAGGAGTGGGCAGAGGTGGCGATCCATGTCAATACAGTCCTCAAGGTACCACACCACGACAGTGATGTCAACAAACCACAGTCCAATATAGGGAGGGACAAGAAAGTGGTTATCTTATTATGCCTGCTCCGTGTTCCCTGATCTAGTGAGGTTACAACTGTTTGTCAAGTTTGAAAAGCTAGAACAGCTTATATTTTTATGAACTGATGAAATTTCTGAGTATTTCCTTTGTGCATACTAATGAGTTTCTGTAATCTTTTTCTGTTTGGTAAAGTTTTTCTTTGAGGAAACTTTTCTCTCTTATATCATTGCAGATAATGGTATTAATGTAGCTATCAAAATCCATTCATTTCTCTAGCATTGAACTCATGTTTCAGCCTCAGCCTTCTAGTTCCCTGGGGTAAACACATACCACCACATCTGCCTTCTATTCTTTAATTACTCAAAATTTGTTTCTTAAATTATTACCTAAGGGGTTTCATTCAGTTTTACCTATTAGACTTTATAGTGCTCTTTTTTTTTTCCTGCTTTGGTTATCATAGTTTTCCAAAATGAAGTTAAATTATGGAATAAAACAAATTTTTGAAGGCAGAACCTTCAAGTGCTGAATGTTTTTCTTATTGGTAGGCTGGTATTGCAAGTCTTCCTTAGACACAGCATCCCACAGAAAGAAATTAACTGAATTATGGCATTAACAACAGCCTATTGCTTCCCATGTGTGATGATGCATTTCATTTTCCCAGGACATGCTGCAGGCTGCCACTCATTATCGCCTGAACAGAAGCTCCATGTACAGTCGGGAAGAACCACTAGGGCAGGAACCAGAGTATGTGCCGTGGACAGGTACCGTGCTGGAGTGTTGACAGCTGTTCGGAGCATGTTCCTATTGGTCTGGCATGTGAGATGTTGTCTTAGTCCCTAGGGACAGTCAAGTGACATCTCTAGACTCACTAAGTTTATTGATCCCACCCTGTTATTTCTTTATCTGAGTGGATTTATGATGCATCTGTTAGGTTTTAGTACCAAGTCCTTCATAGAAACAGATGCTGGCTTTGGAGAAATAGGCTGTATGTTATATTCATATCACAGAGTAAGTAGAATAGCATTAAAAGAATTGAGTAGGAAGAAGAATCACATGGACCTGTGATAAGGAAATCTCCACTGAGAAGAAAGATAGGGTTCAACCAGGGCATGAACAGGCATCACCTGAACACTGCTTTGTTTTCCCAGAATAGTGAGGTAACCTGATTTTTTTAGGCAGTTGGTCTTTTCCCTTTCCATCATGGAACTCTTTCTTACGAAGTTACTTTGTGGACTTTACAGCTACAAGTGGTCCGTCCGGTATCCGCACAGCAATCATGCGCCAACATGGGATCATCCTGCAGATGGTGTACCCTCAAGCTGATAGCAACCTCCGGAGCATTGTAATGGAGCAGCTGGTGGCACTGATTGACTGCTTTCTGGACAGTTACGTTTCCCAGCTGAAGTCTTTAGAGAAATCCAGTGACCAAGAAAGATACAGCAATCTGGAAGTGGAATACCTGCAGAAGAGATCGGACCTCCTCTCTCCGCTTCGTGAGTGTCTGGATTGGAAATGGCTGTGGGCTGCAAGACAGGTGGAGGTCGGAGAACTCACCCAGTGCAGTCCATGCAGAGTTATCTACCTGAGAACAGAGACAAAGCCAGGCACACTCGGATAGCTTCCTGTATTCACGATATCCAGCTTTTTAAAATTACTTATTCTGGTACAAATACCATAGGAGGTTCAATTGACTGGGAAAAAAAATCAGGAAGTTAAGCTGTGGAGATGCCCTTGGTCATTGAGTTCAGCATGCTGAGCTTGGTGGCATTTCCCAGCACTTGAGAGGCCGAGTCAAAACAAACAAACTCAGCCCCTCAGGCCTTCACATGAGCAACTGGTTTTAGAACAGAGCCTAGCAGTGGTTGGTGAAGGGCACAGGTGGCCCAATGTGGCTGCTGAGCAGAAAGCAGTTTTCTTTCATGTCCAGAGTCCGGAAAATTTGTTCTAGTGAGTGATGGGAATCTCACCTGGGGAGGTAATGCTGGATCCAGGGCTGTGTTTCCCTCTTCGGAAAGTTCAGATGGATCAGTAATGGACATAGTTTATGTTATATCATTTGTTCTTTCTCCTGAAGTCACACTAGGCCAGTATCCATGGGCAGCTTCTCTGGCAGAGAAATACTGC